ACAATGTGTAAGCACAATTTCGGGGCTTTGACTCTATAGCTCTTTTGTTCAGAAACAGCTCAGCGTGGTTCAGCGGTGGCTTTGCTGGGATTTCCCTGAGTTAGTCATTCTGCATGTCGTAGAAGATCTTTGTGTGTATTTATAGCTCCATAATCAATGCTTTGTTAATTTGTTTAGGGTTGCAGTGTTAACAAAAATGTGCACAGTGCTTTGCGTATCTCTGTAGAAACCATTGTATATCAGGTAATGTGAAATCATAAACTAAATCCTAAAGACAAAGGGAAAACAGGCAAACATGCTGTAGCAGATACCTAAACATTCCATGGTTAATGAAATGAAGAATAATCATCAAAGTTAAGAGGGAAAAATTCTGAAAAATCAAATCGTATGTTTTCATAACTGCAAAGGATTAAATATTAAATTATGAAATGAACACACTGACACAAGGACATAATCAAAAGACAGATACCCAACCAGAGTGTTCCTTGCTGGGAGAAAAAAAAATCTCTAATGCCATCCTTATGCGTCTTTTAGTAGTTTTAGCCATAGGGCTTGGCAGTGCCACCGCTGTCACATTGCCAAATAAGGAATCTGCAGTGCCTGCTGCATTTTAGTAGCACGTTCTTTTTTAAAATATTGAAGAAAACACACAGATGCATACATGCACATGTAATCAAACAGAACTGTTGTTAAAACACATGTAGGTTAATGTTTACATAGAAATGTTTCCAATGAGCTTAGGCTCTCCATTTAAATTAAGGGCTTGCATTTTGTCACACAGTATACATTCTGTATATATACCGAAGCATATCGTAGATGTAGATTTTTATCCTGTTTGTGCTATTTATTTATTTATATTTATCTCCTGACAGGGCAGGAGTGGGAAGATAATGACTGCTGTTTTGCTGTGAGAATCCTGCTTAGAAAGTAATCAAGCACATTCAAAAGAATGAGTCCTTGGCTGTTATGATGTTGAATGCTGTTTCTCTATTTATGTATCTATTTATGTATCTATTTATTTATTTATTTGACTGTTTGTTTGTTTTCTAATATTTGGCAACCACAAACCAGTTTTAAAGGCACTTGGCACTAAAAAGCCATAAAAGCTTTGTGGTGTCACCCTGCAATTCTTACTGATTTTTTATTGATCTATACGTACAAAACAGCTGACAACTTTTAGATGGGCATTGAGTTTTAAAATTATTTTTTTTAATGCTGATGTTGACAACAAGTAATGTTTCTTACTTGGTTGATTTTGTTTATTTGTCCATTTTAAAGGCAGGTCTCCATTCCTACTGTGGTTTTCCCTTATTACCTTAAAAGTTTTGGAAGGATGCCCATTGATGTCATGGAAACACATGAATCATTAACAATGATTCATGTCTATGCTGTTTGCCCATTCTCCCCCACATAAAACAGGAGTACGTTTGTTTTTAACCCTTTCTGCTTTCTATCATGTCTAAACACCATGTGTTGCAGGAACATTTTATACACCGACTATAGACTTAAAAATAAGGAGGGAAAAGGACAATTGTGTGTTTTGTATGTTTACTTCATCTCAAATTTCTAAGCTAAGTATACACAAAAGAAGTCCTATAAATTATTTGTCTTTATAAATGATATATCTTTTACCATAAAATAAACAAGTGTAATTTTTAAATAATTTTGTTTTTACCTTATTTCTTACCCAGGTTTTTTTTTTTTTTTTTTTTTTTTTTTAATTTTATGTCCTATGTTGTAAATTTAAAACATCAAATAGTTGTGCTAGTTTTAATATTACTGGATAATCACCGAAAAGAAGTGAGAAAAATAGTGGGAGAAATTTAGAGAATTACCTGTACTACTTACATACAATTAATTTGAGAATTTCCATGAATTTGAGTTCAAGGACAAAACAACAGAAAAAAATGACTGAACAATGGCAGATTTATTATCTTGTGAACATGATATATATATATGTGTGTGTGTGTGTGTGTGTGTGTGTGTACTGTATACAGTATAAACACTGTTATAACCAGATGGAAAGTACGCTTATTAAATGGCTGAAATAGGAGGCATTCTGTACTAGAAGTTTTTTTAATATATACGTTTGAATATACATTGTTACTGTAGGGAGCTGTATAGGTCCTAGCTGATGTTTGGGAGTGATGACCAGATATTATAATTTTTTGCCCCATAAAAAACAATGACAAGATGGTTTTACCATAAACACCATAGTGATTACATTTGGGGCATCTTGGCTGTGCAGCCAAGTCATATCAGACAACCTACCCCTTAGTGAAAAACGAAACAGAATCTCCCTTACGACCTGAGATTTCTGTGTAGCAAAGGCAAATCACAATATTTTAATGGATTATAAAAAAAAATAATGATTATGTAGAGGGGAAAACTGGAATTGTTCCATAATTATGGTCCGTTTGACACAGATATGGCTAGCTTTATTTTTTTAGGAATGTGACTTTGCTGCATTTACCAAAGATATATCTAATTTCAAAAGTACTCTTTAATATGGGTATGCTCGTATAGTCAGTAGTTACACATGGATCTCAAGATCTTTAAGACCTTTTTAACACTGACTTATCAGTCTGTTGTCATTTTATTTTTGCAAAAAAAATATTGCTGCAACATTAACAAAATAGGCTCTGTTTTAATTAATAGTAGGTTACTGAATGTTTGAATCAGAGGGTCAAATTTTGCTAGATTTTCCAGGTCCCCTCAAATCAATTGAATATTTGCATAGCTAAAAATAACAGAAAAAGTTCATCTCCATGACCCTGAGCAGAATAGGAACATGGAAAACTGAATGGTCAATGGATGAATTAATATATATTTATATAAATCGTGGCATAGTCCACTCTATTTACAAAATGACAATGAATTATTTTAAATTTCACATAGGAGCAACCTTGTCTTTTTTGAATAGTAAAAATATTGGCCACATTTTAAATATTTTCTGCTAAGGTGCATTAGTTTGAGCTGATTTGTTCTTGTAGTAATTTCAACTGACACCTGGATAGCAAAACATCTCAGTGAAAGTCTGAGGCAGTGTCCCACGCCTTTGCATCACCTGCTAAATATTTCCAGTGATTTATTCTGTAAGTAGCTGCACAGCTGCAGGTACATTGCACTTTTTTGTGGGAAACAAAATTTGGGGGGAAATTGTTTTATTTTTTCTTTATTACAATGCTTGGAAAGTATTTCAGAAATAAATTACATAAAAACACCACTATTATTGTTAACATTATTTATATCTAACAGAGAAAATGGTTAGCCAATGGTTACTGGGTTTTGGTGATTTCCAAAAACAGCTGCAGTGTATGTGTAGTGCACCATAAAGGAACATCCATATTTTGAATGAATGAATGACTGAATGAATACATAACCTTACATATTTACTTGTGAATGTATAAAAGGAGAGGAATTTTGAATTTGTTTATAGTTTAACAGTATTGTGCAGCTGGTTCTTGTCTGAAATGAGCACAATTAAAAGTGGTCAGAATGCTAAAATTAGTAATAATATACAATTATTAATTAATACATAGTATAATACCTGCGTCTTTTTGTTGCATGGATGAGTATCATTTTCACGTTTCTGTTAAACATGCATCAAAATGTTGAACAGCATGGCTGAATAACCTATGGATGACATTTCTACGTGTCTGTTAAAATTACAGAAATATCGCTTCACTTTAAATTATTTGAAGTAGCCAAGGTTTTTATGTTGTTAACAGTTTATTAAAGTGTACAATTGGTTTCTTTAATCACACATGCATGGTAGATCCTTTTATGTGAAATTATTTAAATAATTTAATAACATGTGTCAAACCAGCAAAAGATGATGAAACAATCCTATAATAATAACCTATTCAAATTGCATGGGGTATTGTAATTCTTGTAGGCCTAGTATTCACAAAGACCATTAATTTGTAATTATGTAAGATGCAAAATATTTGTAATAAAGTATTAATTACAAAATTATTTATAAAAAAAATTGTAATGCAGGTGTTTTAAAAAAACAGTGCAACCTGTTATTACTTGATTAAAGTAATTAGTGAATACACATTTATATAGATTCTAAGCCTGCATGATGTTGATGTTGTATATGCAGTTCACACATTGTAAGAACTGCAAAGCTGGGTTGAAATTATGCTTGAGTGATATTTCATTTTTCTATACCATCATACCATCTAGACAGCATACCGCGGTATACGATATTTTAACAGTATTTTCAAAACAGATGTTGTTTTGGTATTTTGAAATCTTAACGATGAAATTAACCCCCCCACAAAAACAAAAAACAAAATCTGAAATACCATGGGATGCAATATTATTGTAATACCAACCAAGCCTAGTTAAGATCATCAGCAAATTTCACTAAAACATTTTCACTGTCATAAGAAACATAGCAAGCGTTGTGATTTTAATGATTGTTCCTTTTCAACAGTACCTAGTGTTTTTCAAAAAAACTGTCCACCACTGTTTGTCGCTGCTGATTTTGCGTGATTTTGCTGAGCCTACAATAATCATTTTCATCCTCATGTGATAAATATTGTAGTATTTATCGCAAAAAAATCACAACCAGATATTTGACTTTTTTCCCCAATATCATTCAGCCCTAATAGACGCCATCATAAGTGTCTTATTCTAAGTAAATTTTGGTAATAAACATACAGTAACTGCAAGAACACTGGACAAAAAGATTAATATATTTTAGCATATTCCAAAAAAAGAGAAGTATTCTTGGTATCCAGATCACAGTAGAAGTTAATTAAACAGCATCAAGCAGAAGATTTGCCAGCTGGTCCAAGCTATAAGATCTTTGCATGTGTGCAGGTATATTTGTTTGCTTTTTGTTTAATATGGTGTATATTTTTTAAATGCAAAACAAATCATAACCATGGCTACCTGTACCATTTTTGTTAGTTTGATGTTTTTTTCTTGCTGCAATGGTAATTGATAGGTGGCTGTTAAAATGTGATTCTTCATTTTTTTCCGTTAAGGTAAACCAGAGAGGACTTCATACTCGTATGGAAGACAATCAAATTTACATGAGTGCCATCAGGTAAGACTAATTTTTACGATAAAAGAATGACATTGTTAAAATTGTCTGTGCTGTTCCATACTGTTCTGTCTACTAATTATTATTATTTTATTATTTTGGATTTAATAAGTCAGTGAAAACAAATTCACATTTTTGGGACTTCCATATAAGTCTTTGAATGAGGTGTACAGTATGTGATAATGGGAACATTGACAGCTGTATTAAAGTATTTTAAATCGCTAAGTTTGATTAAATTTCAATTTAACTTTGATATTGAAATATATATTTTTTTTAAATCACATTTTTTGTAATTAAATATGCAACAGATAAACTACGACAATGGGTGTGGTTATACGAAAGTAATGAATGACATCCTGGTGTAATGTGGCCCAGCGCAAAGCGGAGGGGCTGCTAACGAAGTTGGAGTTGATTATTTTTCTATACCTGTCCGGAGTGTTTTATCCTGCTTACACTATGGCTAACGAACAAAATAATAATAATAGAATGAACTAGTAACAGTTAACTTTTCAGAAGTAAAGTACGTTTGATGATTTTGCAACGTGCTCTTAAAAATATAGTCCCTATAAGGATAGAACATTTGATCAGGCTACTCACTGGAAGTTGATGGAAGAAACCATCAACAGACGGGCGTTTGCGTTTTGAAAACCAAGGAAATTTATGCTGATAAGAATGACTGTTCATTTATGAATAAAAAGTGACACAGGTTTTTATATTAACATGTTATTAAGCTGCCAGAACTCCCTGTGCAGTTACACAAATATAATCAACACCCACAAAACAAACCTTTTCACATATCCAGAAAAGAGTACGTACCAAAGCCGTCGTATGATTACAAACAAGTGATTTTTTATTTTTTTTTTGCAAAATTTTGTTTCAGTATTTTTTTATTCAGAGGGTCATTGGAGGAACTGACCAGTAACATTGGTCTTTCAGACGTTTTGTGGTAATAGAAGCATTACCACAAAGCATTAAAACTTAAATGAAGTTAGGATATGAAAACAAAATAGAAATGAAATAGAAAACAAGTGAAATATCATGAAAATACTATAAAATTTGTTGTGATGTATTGACTAATGTATACAATATAGACACCTTTTGGCATAGGGCATAGCCACATCAGTACAGCAAAGCAGCAAAGCTTTGATATCGCCGTCATTAAGTTTAGTTAACATTTTTGTGTATATAAATTCTCATTTAGTATTGTAGGAAAATTTTGTGTTTTACTAGTATTAAATAGCAGTAGTAAATAGTATCATAGTTATTTTCCCATGATACATGTTACTTAAGGACTTCATCCTGTTGTGCAGGCCATGTGTGTGTGTGTGTGTGTGTGTGTGTGTGTGTGTGTGTGTGTGTATGTATATGTATATGTATGAGCAGTAAACTATCTTGTCATTTATGAAAAATGATCTTGCTTAGAAATTAACCTGCTTCACATCCGATATGACAAAGTCATCAGAAATTTGCTTGTCTAAAGTTTGTAGGGTATGTGACAGGCAAAGTAATGTAGCTGTCGTGTGCCTGAAACTCACTTTGCCTGTTAGCAATATCCTATGGCATAGCATTCGTGTAGTGCAAGATGAAAAGAATTTATACATGTGGTCCCCGGATTAAGAACATCCAACTTACAGACAATGCGTACTTATGAATGGACAACCGTGAAGTCTAATATATTAAAAGTTCTGATTAACTGCAAAGGTTCGTAACAATGAACACATGCACTACTTTGTGATGCTGGTGAAAGTGTTGTGTGGCTTCAGCAGTTTGTCAGCTCAAGATACAGTAGAGTACTGTATGTAGCTCCTTTTATTATTACTGTATGATTATTATTGTTATTATGTACTCTTAAAATTTTCAACGTACCTGTAAATTTGACTTAAAGACGTAGGCAACAGATCTCAAAACTTTGGCAACTGTCTGTAAATTGAATTAACTAGATTCAGATGTATTTGCCTTAAAAGTAGTTTAACTTGCATACTACAAGACATAGTTTTAGACATAGTTGCATTATTTACTAAAAACTTTTCCAATTAAAAAAAAAACATACAGCCATAAATTGATTTTTGCTGATTGCTACTAACACTTGTAGATTATAGCGTGAGGTCATTTCAACCAATGATAAGATGCTGTGTTAGAAGTAAATTCAGCAATAGCTTTCTATGCTGCTGCCTGACCTCTAATTGTTCCTTTAGGAGCACCCCCTTCACCTGATTCCTCTAGGGTGATGTCAGGTTTCTTTGTCAAGGTCTTAGAGACACTGTTTTCAAATTGCCTGAATGAAGGGTAAGAAGTTAATGGGAAGGTAACATGGGACATGAGTGATGTTTCCAAAGTCGACCATCAGACACACAGGTGTCATGGCTTAGCCTAAAATCTTTCAGTGAGTAGTATATCTGTGTTAATAAAAGCTGTTATTTTTCCTTGCAGTTTTGCCCAAAATATTTTTGGATTATGGACTTATGGATGGGCACATAATGCAAACATTACAAATGTAACATATTTTAAGAAAAAAACATATATATTCTGGATGGGGTGCCAGTTCATCATAGGGCACCAGGCAGGGGTACACCCTGGATGGGGTGCCAGTCCATCACAGGGCACCAGGCCGGGGTACACCCTGGATGGGGTGCCAATGCATAACAGGGCACCAGGCAGGGGTACACCCTGGGTGGAGTGCCAATCCATCATAGGGCATAAGACAGGGGTACACCCTGGATGGGGTGCCAGTCCATCACAGGGCACCAGGCAGGGGTACACCCTGGATGGGGTGCCAGTCCATCATAGGGCATAAGACAGGGATACACCATGGATGGGATAAATTTGCCATAAGCAATTTAGATATGCCAGTTAGCCTACCTATATGTCTGTGGATGACAGGAAGAAAGTGGAGCACCCAGAGAAGACTGCACTTCATGGCTGATGCAAACTACACACACACTGAGAATGGAGGCCGGCTAAGACTGTCCCCCTCCAGCAGATCCAGCATGTTCAGTGTGTATAAGAGAGAGACATTTTAATGTATAAGCAAACTGCATTAGAAGAGAACCTAAAAGGCTGCCATTCAGTTTTTCTAATCATAATTGTTCTTTGTCATTTTAATTTCAGAAATATCATTTTTAATAATGTCGATTTTGAGTAGTGAATATTTCCGTATTTTGTATTGTGATAAAAATATCTATCTCCATATATTCATCCATCTTCTCACCATTTATCCTGGTCAGAGTCAGACGTGAGCCTAGAGTCTGTCCCAGGCAGCAGGGGCTATAAGGTAGGGTGTGCCCTTCACCCAATGCCAGTTTCTCTTAAACCATTTTTATCACGTGTCTGTGCATCTTAAGGCAGATTAAACTGACATACAGCTCGTCAGAACACCATTATGGTTTTGTTCATTATACGTTTATCTCAAAAAACAATATATGTTGTTTATTTTTTCCAATGTACTGTTTCCCAAACAAGTAATTAAACTGGAAACATTAATCTCACTTTAATTTTTATTGTTATTAGATATTAATATAGATAAAATTGCAAATGTAAAAGTGAAGAAACATTCAATAAAATATACATTGTAGGCATTTCAAGTTATGGGCAATGACATGAAAACCAGTCTTCTGGAATTATGCTAAAGTTAAGATGACATTTACATCATATGTATACGTTTGAGGTCTGGATGTGTGATATAAAAATTGTAATATTTTCCTGGGTCTTTATCAGTTCAGAAATTCTGCAGTTATAGTGCATTTGTTTATTTTTTTTTTACAGGGATCAGCATTTTATTGAGCATTTTGGGATGCTTGTGCAGTTTAACCCTCAAAACAGGGGAAAATTCCCTGTATAAACACGTGTATTCCGGTATATTTGGTACTTTATTGTTATATGGACCGAACCTGCCGTTACCATTTCATTTGCCGCACTTTAACCGTTCTCATTTTAGTCTTAGATGCATGTATTTGATTAGAGATCGAACAAAGCAATACTACATTGGAATACTTTTTCTAGCTATTGATCAAATTGGCTTTGCATATTAAAGCAATACATTTAAATGCCGTTTCCCTAACCACTGCTTAATGCAGCATCCGCTTTCCTGAAATGTGCTATTACCAACCTGAATGCTTTTCAATTCCCTTAGCCAGTCCAACTGTGTGCAATGGGCAATTTGCCTTTGCTGCCACATGGGCAGGATTTGGAAAGTTTGTGCCATTCTTTTCAGCTTTCATTAACAGGGCCCTTCTTTGTAATCAGTAAGTTGGCAAGCAGCGACTGGCATTTGCCTCATGGGAAATGTGCTTTGGTTGATCGAATATTCATGCAATGGTGCCATACCTCTCTCTTTTTACTTAAACTGATATTCTATTATGTTTCAATTTCTGCTTTAATATTAATATTTGTTATCGCATTATTATTTTACAAATTATTTCCTGACAGGTATTTAAGTGTTCAGTGCAGTGTGCATCTATATGTCAATTCGCATTATAAACAGTACAATATGTCTAATTTTTCTGAAATATTAATCTTTTTTTTTCTGTTTTCATCTAGGAGCATATTTTGAAATATGTCAGAAGTGGCCTGTGTTTGTGGTGCCCTCTCTTGTCTTCATTGAATATCCTTGGCTTCTGTGACACTGTTAGTCTACTGTAGCAGATTTGTGATACTTCTTTAGACATGAGGACATGGAACATTCTGCTTAGCTGGAACTTCCTTGAAAATTTCCATCACTCAAAAAAAGTTTGAATTCAGCTGGTCTTTCTGCTTTGAACACCAGTCATCATCATGTTTATTATTATTAGTACATTAGCATAAAAATTGTTTAAAGTGAGCATATTAATGACAACATGACAAATATGAATTTGAAATACTGGACTAGGCAGAATGAAGTGGCTATTTTTTCAGGCTATCTGTTAATCTTTCATTAAAAACAATTATATTGTACGTAGTATACATAGTCCAATCCAAGTTTAAATGAAAAATGTTGGGAATTTTCTGGGTTCACATCGTATAATGCA